TGTACTCAAGCGGAAAAATAATGGCGGATACAGGCAGTAACTACAATAACACTGCAACAATCTCAGCATCCAACGCTGGCACAACCAGAGATTGTGTTTCCTAATAAGATGCAACCCAAATGCACACTACCATAAAATACTGTCTTTAAGAAAAATGTTAAACTTTAATCTAATTAAAATTTACAATGGGTCTGAACGCTATCCCTCCTCCCCCAAGACATATGTTGAAATCCTAAATCCCAAAGTGACAGTACTAGGAGGTAAGGTTTTTAGGGGGATAATATAGTTCTGAGGACAGAATTCTCATGGTTGGGATTAGGGCCTTGTGAAAGAGATTTCAGAGAGCTAGCTAGTCCCTTCTGCTATGTGAGGAACAGCATGAAGGCTCCATTCATTGAGCCAGTAGGTGGACTCTCATCAAAAAACAAAGCCGCTGGCACCTTAACCTTGGACTTCTCAGCCTCTAGAACTGTATGAAATAAAATTTTTGTTATTTATAAAGTACCCAGTTCTTCATATTTGTTTATAGTGATCTACACTGACTAAGAAGACAAGTCTTTAGAGCTAATTTTCAGTTAACCAAAAGCAACAATAAAAACAGGATAGAGTAAAAAGTTACACAGCATCATAAAAGAGCCATCTGAAAGTTCTAGAGGAGGTTACATCCTACAGGACAGCGGACTAGTTCTTCAACAAATCAATGTCAATAAACAAATAATGAGGTACTTTCTAGATTTTAAAAAAAGTTGAGATAAATAACCAAATGCAGTGTGTGTTCCTTGATTTGTAGAAACTAGTTTGGACAGTCTATAAAACATGTTTTCAAATAATTCAGTATATCGGAATGTGGACTGGGTAATAAATGATATGAGGAAATCATTTTTTAATTTGTTTTAGATAACAACACTATAACTATGTAGAAAAATACTCTTTAGAGAATATTTTTAGAGCTCCATATTGAAGAATTGAGGGGTAAATGTTATTTCTTTAATATGCTTCAAAATACTTAAGCCAAAAAGAATGACACAAATATTGCAGATATTTACAATCTAGGTTATAGACCTATGGACATCATTAATCTTATCTCTAGACTTCTCTGAAAGTTTGAAAATTTCACAAATTAATATAATAAAAAGGTAATAATCACACATAATATAATAAAGTTTAAAAATCCCAATGTATAGATACATACTTGAAATATGTCTATTTCAAACTTTGAGATAGTAAAACATAATATATTTTATCATTTAAAAATGTCATACTTTTGTTCTCTAGCAATTAAAATTAGGAAAGACCAAGTATTGTTTTTCATAGAAAATTTCTTTGTAAAATTAACTTTTTTATTCCAAATGAAGATTTTTTTCAGGTCGAATGCTGCCCATTCAGACATATTTGCCAATTCAAAGAGAATAAACTCTAGTTTTCCTTATTTTCTTAGTCTGGTTATGAATAATATTCAATATGAAATAAAAAAGGCTAAAGCATTTGGAATCAGGTTCATTAGTCTTAAACCCACTGCACTGTTCAATTTATATGTGCTAATAATTATAATAAAAAGAGAAAGAAAGAGAGAGAGAAAGGTTCCTCATGCCCAAGTCTCACTCAGCAGGTCAAGTAAGAAGACAAGTACATTCCCATCATTGTGTGTGTGTGTGTGTGTGTGTGTGTGTGTGTAAAACATTTAATCATCCACTCAAGCAGCACAGGAAATACAGGACCAGGTGCGAAAGGTGATGTTGACTGATCCAAGTTACAGACACAAAACTCAGGGTAAGTTAAGATTTCAGGCCACAGAAAGGGTGAGTCTCAAGTGATCTGAAAGAGAAAGGCATTGGTTTGGTCCCAAACTCAAAGAAATCACTCTGAGGCCGAGGCACATGCTGTATACAGGGAACCCCAAGATCCCCATGGCTGTCCTTCGGGTTAAAGATGACTCCAGCTATCCAGAAGGTTTGGTCACCTGGCAGCAACTAGAGGCCACTAGAGATTCTACAGAGTAACTGTGTTCAAGTGATAGCTCGAGCCAAAGGGGTTCCTCAAACAATCTGGAATCAGTCCTCCATGATGGAGTGTAAAGATGGTAGCCAAAGGTGAACAATGGAGAGACTGGGGAGATGCTGGTCCAAGCACACAGAACTTCACTAAGGGGAATATGTTTGACAGATCTATTGTACATCAAGACTACAGTTACTATATTACATACTTGAAAGGGGCTAAGACAGTAGACTTCAGGTTCTCATCACAAAAAAAAAATATGTGAAATAATGCCTGTTAAGTGGCTCAGTTTAGCCATTTCACAATGTATACAGACATCAACGCATCACATATGCCATAAATATATACAATTCTTACTTGTCAAAAAAATAAAGAACTCATTTTGAAAAAACAAGAGATGGAGGGAGGGGGAGGCAGGGGAGGAGAAGGGGAAGTCAAAAGAATTAAGATGGGTTATGTACATGTACCAACTCCCCATGATGAATATAATCATTATATACTGCAACATGCCCTAATAAAAATTAAAAATAAATTTAAATAAAAAAGAAAGAAATCTTGGTGACAGGTAAGGACATGGGGTAGAGTGAGCTTAAGGTTATAAGCCTTGGTGAGACTATGAGAAGACAGCAGCTGTCAGGCACAAAGAGAAACTGAGTTGAGCCAAAGGGTTCTTGTTTTTTTTTTTTTTGGCTAACAGGGATCGAACTCGGGTCCTTGCGCTTGCACAGCAGGCAGCGAAACCACTGAGCTAAATCCCCAGCCCCTCGCCAAAGGGTTCTTGTGCAGATCATGAGTCTGAACAACCAATCCAAAAAAATCACTGGTCTAGCGAGTGGGAATAGGGACACAGACCTGGAGACAGAAAGGCACAAATGAACGCCAGAGCTCCTGGGTGGCTGGGGGTGGCTAGAGAGAGACCTATGGGGAGTCCCATAAATTTCTGATCATGCAAGGCCAATTTTGCCGATAATTCTCCAGTCCTTCTCGATCATATTTCTCCTGACGCCAACCTTCTAACTATTCACTTGGGCACAAGCTCCCAAGAAGGAGAACAAAATGAGGAAAATACTGGTCAAAATTGGCAGCTTGAAATTCTGAAATGAGTCCATCATGCCCTTCATCCACACTTACCCTTCTTAGAAGTAGCACTTTCAGATTATTTAAAAGTGGGTGAATTTTAATTATTCTTTCTGTCCCTCATAAGAACTACTAGGTTAAAACTGAGTCTAAGTATATACTACTATACATAAACTCCATCTTTAAAGTTAAGAACTGTATTTATCAGAGAAGATCCATTGAAGAGGCTGAAGAGACCCTATGGTAAAGTGAGCCAAGAAATAATAAAGCATTGTAACAATTTGCCTATGCAGAACAACAATTATAGTTTTTAAAATATCCTGACCTACAATAAATATTGAACAGGCTATTTTTCTCTCACTGGCTAGAAAAACTGACCCAGGGAGGAGTATGCACACTATCACAACCATCCCAAAAGTTCATTATTTTCCATCATTTTAAAGAAATAGCTTTGTCAGACATGAGCAAAAGACCATTTGGCAACCTCTCTCCAACTCCCAGATTCCAGCCACTTTCATCCATCCCAGGTGAGGAGCCAGAGACAAACACAAGTCACCAATCTGTAGCATCATTGCCTGCTTGAGTTGAAAATCACCACTGCACCACCTACCACAACATCACTGATTTCGTTTCTCCCAATTGCTTTTGTTTTTTCAAAAAAAAATATGTTTTCCCACTTGAAACACTGAGAAGGAAAAATTATAGTAGCCAAACATAAAGCACAAACAACCCTAAAGATAGAAGGAAGAGGAGAAGGAACGAGAACATAGAAAGGAGATTAGAAGGGAGGGAGAGAATCCAAATGACAGGTAATTGTTTAGTTTCACGTTTACTTCACACTAATTTAGACTTCTACCAGAGATTTCCCTCAACGAAAAGTTCCGTAAGTTGGCTCTGGTTGCACTGACAGGGCTGACATTACTTTTCTTTTCTTTTTTTTTTTTTTTTCTGGTGCCAGGTATGGAACTTGGGTCCCTGCGCTTGCGAGGCAGGCAGCAGAACCACTGAGCTAAATCCCCAGCCCATGACATTACTTTTTTAAAGTGTTTCCCACAGATTAATTCAGAGGCCCCTGAAGTTCAGTAGTCATCCCTGAGATGTTGTTGGATTGCGGAAGGGAAATAGGGATTTGGGGGTACACCCAGAGGTGCTTCCAGCCGTAGGGTGTAAAGGAAAGGGCAGAAGGAGGAACACTCAAGGCCAGAGAATTTAGACTGCAAAGGGTTGTGAGAGAAAGGAGATAAAATGAAGATAAAAACTGAAAAGATAAAAAGATATGAACTGTCAAATGCCAAAATCATCTTGGACAGAAGAACTGCATTAAGAAAGCCACTGCAAATCTAATTTCAGACTATTAAAGGTGTGTTTCCTGGGAACTGAGAGGCCAGGCAGTGCAACATAAAATCGATCCCTCCCACCCCAATCAAAGTGATCATTAAATAACCACTGGTTAAAGAACCAATGATCTAAAAGACTCCTGGGCTCCACCCTTGACAAATATGTCACTGTTGAACACTGGGGGCGGGGGGTGGGGTGTAGACAATACTACGTTAAATTTATCAGAGTCGAGATTCAGGGGGCTAGAGGATGAGTCAAAATGAACACGAGGAAACTACGTTGGGAGTCTGAAGAAGTCTGCGTCAGTAGGACGCAGACAAGGGACAAGTGGACAAGGCGAGGGCAGAATTTAAAGTTTAGCGCTGAGATAGAATGAAAAAGGGAACCTCGAAAAGAAAAACGAGCAGGTGAGGGGCGCAGGCAGTGAGGAGGTGACACCGCAGGCTCAGGACGCCCTCGGGCTCGCAGAGCGAGATCCTTCCTGGAGGTTTCTCGGGGTGTAGGGAGCTGACGGAAGTCCGAGGCCGGGGTCCCCGGGAGGCTGGGGAAGAGCGCGCGGAGCGACGGGGGTGGGGACCCGGGTCACTCACCCCGTTGGCCGCGGCCATCTGCACCACGATCTCCGTGGCCGTCCTACTGAAGTACCTGCCGTCGCTGCCCACCACCATGGTGCAGCCCTGGCGGTCGCGCAGGTCGATGGAAGACAGCACGCTCTGGATGAAGTTGGGCAGGTAGTTGCGCTGGCCCTCGAAGAGTCCGGTGGGCCGCCGCAGCCCCCCGCCCCCGGCCGGCCGCTGGTCCTCGTAGGGCGCCGTGGGCACCGTCAGCACCGGGATAGGGCTCCCCTCCATGGCGCCTCCTGGCCGGTCCTGCCGCGGCTCGGCAGCCGCAGGGAATCCGGGAATCTGCAGCCCGCTGCCCCACCGGGCTGGCCACACGCCCGGCTCCGCCTCGCGCCCCGACCCCTCCCCGGCCGACGGCGCCCCGCGCCCTGCGCCCCGCCTCCCCGGGGGCCCCCAGAAGCAGGGCCGCCTCCTTCTGCTAAAGTTTTCTCCCGCCCAATTTCTCCACAGCCAGATCGCCGAACAGTCCTCAGTTTCCGTCCCCAGCTGGTCTCACTTTCGGAGTATCCCAAAGGCCCGGGTCTCGGGCCAGCTTCCCCGCCCCCGTGACGCCTCCTCCTGCGCCTGGCCTCGGAACAGCCTGGGCGAGCAAAGAGCGGGGAGTGGAGGTTTGGAGACCTCTCCCGCGACTTTGCGCCCTTGCTGCCTCCCGCAGCCTTCTCTCTGGGTCTCCCTGCGAGTCAGGAGAGCACACTCGCAAGTTTCTCCCTGCAACAAGAGTGCCCTCCTTGGAACAACTTGAGAGGGGACTGAAGCCTTTTGCCATCAGCTAACAGGCCCAGCCAAAAATAACCCTGGAAAGGCGAGCTGAGAATTGTTATCTTCTGCCAGCGGTAAAATTGGAGGCTGGGCGCTGAGTGTGCGTGTGTGTGTACACCCACCACGACCATTTGTTGCAGGGAATCACACACTGTCAGGCCCTCCAATCCCCAGGACCCACCCCAACCATCCACTTTCCCAGACTCTTGAGAGGTTAGAACACTTTGCAATGTGAAAACTTGTTTGTTTGTTGTGGGGGTTTCAAAAGCAGAAACACAGGCACACAATTTTTTACTCTTCTTGACCTCACCCCCTCTGCCCAACTCCTCCTTAGAAACAGGCTCGCCTCACACTGTATCTGTTGAACCCTTCTCTGGATTAATCGTTGTCATTAGGAAGAGGCTAAACCTCTTTTAATGCCCTGCCAAGAATGCATGAACAAAACCAAATTAAACAAGAACTAGGTCCCAGGTGCTATGCTATGCTGGTACTATGCCAAGTCCTTCTGCATGCATCCTCCCATCCTGCGGATGGCAATTTTCTACCTTCTTCCCATAAAGCTCACCTAAAATATAAAACCAAAGAGAAAGTATAAGTGAAAAGAGAAGGGGTTAAAAATAAAACCCAAGGAGGGAAGAAACTTTTTTTTGCTTGTATCTATCATCCATGGGACATTTTTGTACCAAGGCCACTGTCCTGAAGAGCTGCTGCTCTCACTGCCCTCGTCCTGGGAGCACAGATGACTTGCTGCAGGATCATAAAACATTTGGTCATAGTACGATAACTGTGAATAATAACTTGATTGCTATCATGACTTTGCAATGTTTTTTCTTTAAATGGTGAAAAGAATGAAAAGTACGAACAGTGTTCATACCGGCCACATTTCACAGATGAAGAGAAGATTTATGCGATGTCAAGAAAGTAGCCAAGATAGCACTTTCAGTCAGTCCAAATTCTTATGTGGCCTCTCCTCTTTTTATGCATATAATTGAAATATGATAAAGAAAACATTGAAGGTATCGAAGGCAACCTGCCAGGACTTTTTAGCCACTCTCTAAAAGAGAAAAGAATGTTTTCTTTTGGGGACTGCTAAAAGGGTACAAAGTTTGTTAGACAGGAGGAATATAATTTTTGAGATCTATTGTACAACATAATGACTATAATATTTCAAAATTGCTAAGTCAGTAATTTCAAGTATTCTCATCACAAAAAGGGTGTGTATTTAAGGTAATGGATATGTTAATTAGCTTGACTTAACCATTCTACATTGTAGGTGTATATCATAACATCACACCGTACATCATAAATATATAGAATTATAATTTGTCAATTGCAATTTTTAAAATATTTTGGGGAGTTATTTGTTTTCCTCTACTCTTTCCTAGAGTAAAGTTCCTAATTTATACTAGTGTGCCTGAGAGCATCTCGGCCTATCACCAAATACACTGAACTTTGGTCTGGCCACATCCCTATGGTACAGGGATTTTGTTGGGTTTTTTTTTTTTTTCGGTGGAGGGGGGTGTATAAAACTCGGGTCCTTTTGCTTGCGAGGCAGGTGGTGCAGGGATTTTAAGATCACTTTCTAATGACATTTTATTTTGCAAAGAAGACATTGTCATTCCCAAAATAATAAGTCCTTTGCTCCAGTAAAGACAAAGACATAATTCCCAAGCCTCAGAGATTACCAGAAGCCCTCCAGGATTCCACCTCTTGACTCATCACACTTCCCTGTCTCTCAACATCACCATTATTCTTTCCTACCATATCCCAGTTTCTGCCACAGTCCTGGAAACAAGGCATCCATCAAGCCGTGAACACCTCAGACTAGATTTTACTGTCTTACCATCCAGCAGGAAATCTTCCCTTGGGACTCATTCTGAAATCCCCAAAGACTCTGATATGTCCAACCAGATAGCCAGACCTCAAGGTGAAAAGATAGTTTCCTCAAAGGGGACACTGTTCCCCAAAGGAAGGAGAGATGGGCGACCAAATAGTAATTTTCCACCACAAATGTGAAATTTTCTCATCAAGTCTTTTGAAAACTATCTTTCCTCTGAACTCATAGCACTCTGCTATTCACTCTGGGCATGTTCATATCATAGATGTTTTATTCTCCTCTACCTTATGTGACTTTGGAATAATTCCATAACCTTTCCTAATCTCAGTGTCCTCAATGTGGAACAGAAATTATTATAATCCCTTTCCATAAATTGTTGAGAAGATTCAAGTACTTAGTACAATGCCTACCAAATAGGCATTCAATTAATGTGAGTTGTTCATATTATTGTCATCGACTATATATTTATCATTAACATTAATTCCCTGTGTAGCAAGAATTACAGTTTATATCTCTGTAGACCACCGTAGCACCTAAAGGTTCTTTGGACACAGGTGATATTTGACAAAAACTGGTTAAATGTATGTGTGGGTTTTGATGTGAACACTCAAAATATATGGAATAAATTGCCCTAAAAATGTACAAAAAGATTTTCTAGCTAAGAAATCTTTTCAAAGCTGCCTCCAAATTTGATAAAATCCAATGAATTTGTCACAATGATGGAGAAAGGAAACCCAGAAGGCCTCCCAGCAAATGCCTTACCCATAGTTCCTCTACGGCAAAATGAGAAGGCTGAATTACATCCGAATCGCTTCCGAACCGAACCCTGGTGCCTCCCAAAGGCTGCACAAAGCCCGAGGGTCATGGCCAAGTTACTTTGCGGGGCGGGGCGGGCGGTGGGTGGGGGGTGGGGGATGTGTACTGGGATCGAATTCGGAAACTCCAGTACCTTGCGCGGCACGGGGCGGAACCAATGAGCTAAATCCCTGGCCCCGTTACTTTTTAATCTCTGCACACTGCACCATTCTTGGAGCCTCACGATGCACATTTTTTATTAAAAGTTCTGAGAGGTTCTAGATAGAAGACCTCAGCTTAACTTTTTTAGCCTAGTATTTCCCAACCTAAACTTTCATGTCCAGTTTGCTTAGTTAGGGAAAGAGAATCAGACTAGCTTTGTGATCACGACTAGTGACACACCCCCTCCCCCACGTCCTCATTGAACTGGGTCAGGGACGAATGTGTTTCCTTGATTCTCAGAAGCTGGTCCTTTGTGCTGAGCTCAGAGCTCTTCTGCAGCATGAGCCACAGTGAAAGGTAACCCTGCTGGCTAGAGATGCTTTTCAGTCTTCTCTGAGCCTCTAAAGAAAGGCATTGCTCTGAGAATTCCTGGCATGGAACAGGAAAAGACTGACATAGCCTTCCTTTCCCTGGGGACTCCCTTGCTCTCAAGACCATACCAGCTGCTGTCTTCACAGAGAACCTGCTGGCTGGCTCAACTGGACCAGCATTTCCCAAATGAGAATCTGGGGTGAGGTGTCAGAACACTACAGCCCATGTTAGCATATTAAAGACTCAGCAAAGCTATTCAGGAAAGAAACTTATTTAACAATAGCCTAGCATTTCCAAATTTTATTTGACCATGGAGTCTTCTTCCAGAACACCTATAATAGATTAAGGCCATTAATGCTCCATGAAACACTTTCAATCTCTGGGGTCCCTTCCAGCTACATTATTCTACGATTCCTTTCTTATTTATTTATTTATGATATTAAAAGATTAACTTCTAGCATTTACCTATTCAGGTACAATTGCCCAATCCAAAAAGTAAATACCCTGGAGTGATTTTGAGACCTATGCTAGACAGATACAGATATAAGAGTAAATTATTTGTATATACACATATAGCTGTTGTACATAATTTTATACTATGTAATCTATTCTGTACTTCCCCTCTTGGGCTCTCCTGGCTGGCAGTAAACCCCACAGTAGTGGCTCACAGTAGCTACGTACTCTCATTGAATCACAGTCCACTTTTGTGCACACAGGGAATGCTAAAAACATGCTGTTGACTCATTAGCTCTAAGAGCAGAGAAATGCCAGAAGTTCATGGCAAGAGGCAGAAATGCAGGTGGGAAAATGTCACAGGCCATCCTCCAAGGAACACTAGTTCCCTTTCTAACTTGTCCAAACACCTTCTGGTGGGGAGAATGTCAATTACATGCTTCAAGCAACTCCTAAAATACTACCTTCCACTAAATCTTCTGTTTCCCAACAAATGAAATATAGTAGCTGACAGTGATTCCAATAGAACTGGCTGCTTCTTGATTCCTTCACTGAAAGGCCACTTAATGAATGGTCATGCAATATAAGGAGTCATGTCACATGTGTTCTGTAAGTGACTGCGCATCTGCTTGGTGTCCTTACATCTCATGCTTTGCTTCATTAACAATTACTGTACAGTGTGGCCTTGAACAAATTGGCCATCCTCTCCAATGTCAGTTTCTACACCTGTAAAATGCACATAATGCTGCCTACCTCATAAGGGTGATGATCTTATTTAAACAAGTCATAAGTGAGAACTGCTTGCATAGTCCCTAAGACATAAAAAGGACTTAATAAGTGATGCAATTACTATGATTTTATTACTAAATATTGCTGTTACTATAATTATTGCTGAGATGTTATTCCTGAAATAATTATTAATATAAATATCGTTACTATAATGACTTATTCTTTATATCAGACAGTACTGACTTTGAGGACTATGAACTATGTCTCTTCAACCTTTTTGGCACAATATTAACATGTCATCACACATAAATTAAGGAATTAGTGTTGTTAAGGATGAAAACATTTATTTT